CATACTCAAGAACATACAAAGGTCAACCCCTATCACGATAGCACGATATGGGAGACCGCGGAATAAAACCCAGGATTTTGAGGAGCTCTCGTCCATACGGTCCATCGAGCCAAGCCAGAGTTTTAGCCCGAATCTAGGCTCGCCGAGCCCGCCGGAGACCCCGAACTTGTCGCATTGCGTTTCTTGCATCGGGAAATACTTATTGTTGGAGCCTCTCGAGGGAGACCACGTTTTCCGAGCCGTACATCTGCACAGCGGCGAAGAGCTGGTTTGCAAGGTAATGTCTCTCTCCCCTTGTGTGTCCCCCCCGTCCCACCTCCCGGGTCAGCCTGCCGCCGCGTGTCGGGTCCCCCGGGCCTCGCAGGGGTGGCCGGGCGCAGTCCTGCAGCTCAGTTATTAAACAGTTGAGAAACAAAAGGCGAGGGAGACGGGATTAAAGGCGCATCCGGTAACTTTTCCCTCTCTGGAGACAATGGCCATGTTATAGCGGTGGCCCGGAGCCAGCTCTGCCGCTTACCCGGGGGATGTTGTTCTGGAAAGAGCCGTCCTTTAAGTAGGTCTCAACGCGAGTTCAGATCAGGAGAAAGAAAGCCTCATCTTCCCCACTCTCACTTTTCAAAATGGAGTAGGGAATCCCCAGCTAATTTTAAGGTGTTAGGACCTGCTGGCTTCCTCGAATTTTCCTGCCCCTTGTTCTGTGAGTCGGGGGGGTACGGAAGAGGATGGAGAAGTGTGTGTACGTGGGATCATCGCCATCAGCTTTGTCTTCAAAGTGATTTAAAAAAAAAAACCCACATCGAATTTAATCAGCCTGAGCTCCCTCACCGCGGAGCTTGTTTGCAAACAGCATCCTCCCCCATTGCACAACTGAGCAAGAATAAAACTGGCACACCTACGGTTTTTGGAAGAGCAGACAAAATAGCTATCCCACTCTTTGTAGCCTGCCTGCTTTTCTCTGCCTCCTCCCGGTTTGCTCCTGCTATTCAAAGGTGAGCCGTGGGAAAAAGAAAACCACATGCGTGCACGTCTGTGGAGGGATGTTTTTCTCTTTTTCGGGCTGAGGGAGTATTTTCCTTTGTTCCCAGATTGCAGTTCTCGTTGTCTTTGGTGACCCAGACCGATGCCCAGCAAACTGAGGCAGCACCCGGCAGTAGTTTTTATAACTACGTAGCAAATTCCAACCTTGCAATGCACACTGCGGTGTTTGTATTGTTCCCAAAATATGGAATTGTGCCATTTGGCTATCTTGGGCAAATTTCTAATGACAAACTAACTGCAAAATGGAAAAGTAGACGTATTATAGTTTATTTGTATTCCAGGGATTAATGATAGTACTGCTGACTGTTTCATACTTTCTCATACTTGATTGATAAGAAGTTAAGGACTCGGCTGTGCCAGGGAGGAGAAAATAATTGCTCCTGTTTGCTCTTTGTAAAGATTGGAGCTCAGATGGCAATTTAAATATGCTTACTGATTGAGCTGTAAAACCTGGTGTTAAGGCAGCCTAGGACTTTGTGTGATTATTTAGAGAAAAGGGCCCGTGACTTTGCAAAGGACTAATACTGCGTGCTGAACTGAATGCTTTGTTACTAAGCTGAAACAGAACAGGAGAATTTCTAGAATGAAAGCCCTGCTCGGTGTGGTGGTACAGTGCTGCACTCTAGGACATTGGCATCTTTTCATGAAACAAACAGGCCCTGCAAAGCTGCTGCCCTGCATGAAATTGTCGGTGAACGTGCATAGCGAGTAGTAAAGCGGGGGCTATGCGCTTCTTTGTTTCCTGTTTGGCTTGCAGGATTAAGGCACTGTTTTGATAACGGTATGAACAGCATAACTGCAGCTCACACAGTGGACTTCATTTTTTTTTTTTTTTTCCCTTCCCTTTAAGCTGTGTGTTTTTGAGCTGATCCTGATATTTGAATAGTATCAGTTTTTCCATATGTGCAAGGCACTGCTTCTAGCTGTGCTCCAAAAATACGATCTTAGCCTGAAATGCTAGTTTGTGAATACGCAGTTGTCAGTCCTGAACTCATCTTAATTTAATGCGTGCTTTAAAATGCCTGCAGTATCACGACTATTATTTGTCAAGTAGCTTTCCGGCTAAGCGACCTGCTATCTGGTGTCTTACTGAAGATGCTCTTAGAGATTGCTTGCAGAAACATTGGTTTGGAGAACAGACACATACTAGTGATTCTCAAGATGCATTTGGCTGCACCCACTGACTGTACAGATGCCGTTATTTGCTTCAAGGCTCTGTGGCATCCGAACAATGGTAACTTCTCACTTCCAGTTCCCAGCAAGAACTAAATCAAACCACAGCTTATTGGACATTTTGTGAATTGAGGCCAGGGATCTTAAAAGCTGGGATACAAAGCAGCCCTTTATAAAAGGTATTCTAGACTGTAGCAGTATGATAGCGCTTCCAGTCTCCCCCCTTTCAACCATAGTACTACTACATATCCAGACCTACTTACTTAACGTATTCTGAGAACCACAAAATGTAAATAATTTATATCAGGATAATCTGGTTAGGGGAGAGTTCTAGAAAGGCTTTTTTTCACATGAGGGTTTGAGCTACATAAATGTTCCTGCTTTAATTTTATTTTATAGCAGCCACTTTGTGGAAGAGCCATTCACAATGTAGTAGTTATGAGTTTTGAGATCCAAATGTCAATGAATTCTCCTCTGGAATGAATTACACAGCAGGGATTTTAGCAACACCCCTTCCCCGCGCCGGTTCTGCTTCCCTGGCGCACCATGTCACCAGAATGCCTCGGTGCTAATCTAACCCCCATAAAATGTGTTGGATCTGTTTGGCAGTCTGCCTTTAAGGTTGTTTTTTGCATGTACTGGAGTAAAGCAGCACAGGTATGGGATGGGGAAAAAGAGGTTTGTGAGGAGGGGACGTCCCGGTTCTGTGGGGCTTGGGTTTTTGCTGCAGAAGGAGTTTGTTAGGATTGCGCTCTGAAGCATTAAATGACTCAGATTTTGAAGCCTCAGGTAAATTTTTATTGAACCGTATCTCTCTCACTCAGCGTTCAAAGCTTTATAAAGCTTCATAGAAGGCGGGGAGGTTTGCTTCTTGGAGAGGATACAAATACCCACTACTGGAATACGAATACTGGAACACTAGAGGAAGGAAAACAATTGCAGTTTAAACCAGTTGGTTAGAGACCTATACCAGTTCTTCATTTTTATGTTCAGTTAGAATGACCCACGACTACCTTAAATTCAAAGTAAGAAAACACCTGAGAGTAAGTTGCATATTGCTGGTGGGAATGCTACTGCCTTGCTTTGTAGTACCTCTGGAGCAGGTCTAATTAAAAATAAAAATCGCTCCTATCAATACTTTGCTCCTATTCTCTTTTGGCACACTGACTTCTGTTATTCTCAATGAAGTCTTCTAGTAATGTGGGCATTTCTCAATTGACTCAAATACTGATTCATTCGTCATCACTAGATTATAGTAACTTTTTATATTTGTGTTTCCCAGCAGCCTTTTTAATTCTTACGGCTCATTCATAAGATCAGTGATAACGTGCTTACTAGTGAAGGGACACTTTGCTTTTAATGGAGCACTTGATTGAGATGCAGGGAGTTCAGTGGTTTTGTCTTTGCCTTTTGAAGGGTGTTTGTCTCCACTCCAGCAGACAGGCAGGGCTGTTTCCCGGTTGTCCTTCTGATCTTATAAACAGCCATTGTAAAACTGAGACTTTGAAAGTGAAAGTGACTTTACTGTTTGTCAGAGATGAAAGAAAGGCAGGAAGTAAATATGAATAGCAATAGATGATATTTTAAACCTGGAAATCCTTAAAGCTCTAACGGGCTCTTAAAATCAAGAGAGAGTGCCGTGTATATCAGGGTGGATTTAATGTGACAGCTTCTCTCAATACAAAGCTACTGGCCGTATTCTCTATGAGTTTATTTGGATGGAAAACAGAAGATAAACGCGTTTCCTTCTGAGTCCTGCCCTTATACATCACTGATCTTCACAGCTTAATGCAGATTATGTTCTAAATTTGATCAGCTATTAGCTAATGAAATTATTCTTGCTGTGAGCTTCGAAGACTAGCCTTTCCTGTCAAGGGTACGCATATCTTCTGTGTGGAATTGTAATAGTCTGTTTTGTCTTGTCCTCAGTGCCGGGAGCTTGTGACATCCTGTTCACATCAGTGCAGCTTCAGCAGTGGCATAAATTATACTTGGAGGTGGTTCTGTTAACAGAACTAGATATACCGTAATTCCACTGTCCTTCGTAACGCTAACCCTGGCTTTACTGTCATTGTTCCTGCAGGTGTTTGATATTGGCTGCTACCAGGAGTTATTAGCACCATGTTTTTGTCTGCCTGCGCATAAAAATATCAACCAAATTACTGAAATAATTCTTGGGGAGACAAAAGCGTATGTGTTCTTTGAAAGGAGCTATGGGGACATGCATTCGTTTGTTCGCACCTGCAAGAAGCTTAAAGAAGAGGAGGCAGCCAAACTCTTCTATCAAATAGCTTCCGCTGTTGCACACTGCCATGATGGTGGACTGGTACTGCGAGATCTCAAGCTGAGAAAGTTTATATTCAAGGATGAGGAAAGGTAAGAGTCTCCCTTACTTTACAGGTGGGGGTGCCGGAGGTCAGATATTCAGAGTTGCCGGACGCTGAACCCTTCATTGTCACCGTACCATTCGTTTTGTGGTACACAAGGTGTTAGCTTTCCTTGCTTTCCTTTGCAACCTGATCATGAGATGGATGTGCTGTTTTATCTTCTGGCTTAGGCTTTGGAGTAAAGTAAGTACAGAGTGGCATTTGTGTCTGTGCCTAGCCTCAGCATCTCAGCCCAGAGGAGCACCCTCGTTTCTAAGGAGGGGACATCTCCTGGAGGAAGGCTCTGCATACATGTCTGGTGTAAGAGCGCGGCTCTCATATATGCTGCTGGTCTTAAAAGAGGAAAGGACAAGAGATCCAGTATGTTAAAGAGGGCTGGGGACCAAAACAACTCGTTCTAGTGAGGAGGCATGAAGAGGAAGAACAGCCAAGTGGTTAATGCTGGCATAGATTGGAGAGAAGGGTCACCGGTGCTTTGGAGGACTGCTTTGAGGACAGCTTCTTGCTTCCCATGCTGGAAGGGTCTGAATGCTGCTTCTGAGAGTATTGTGTGGTCACTAATCATACTAAGACTAAGACTGCCTTGCTGTGTGGGTGCCTGTTTTTGGTGTCAGCTGTTGTGGTACTTGGGGAACTACCTTTTTTTTTTTTTTTTTTCCAAATATCTCCTCCCTGCACTCCCTCCTCTCTCAATAGTTGGATAGTAAATGATTTGGGGAAGAAGGAGTATGGGAAGACAGGGAAAGAAATAATGCTGGGTGTTCTAGGTAGATTTTTGAAGTGCTGTTTCTGACGCTGACCCACGGCTATACTGTGGTACCTGTGAAAATGTCGTATCTCTTTCCTTGTGGTTACCGGTTTTCATTATGTTACATCATGCATTCGCTTGCAGCTTCCACGTAAAGCACCAGGGTAATGAACACTGTCACATTAATGTCAGGCTTTCACAGAGGGATTGAAATGGAAGATGACCACTATGAAAAAAATGAAACTGAATGAGGGCAGAACCTGCCTTTGTGTTTCTTCATGCCTTGGTAGAGGGTGGGGAGGTGTTTTTCCCTTTTAGTTAAATCCTATAAATTGTCTGAAAGCTTGTTCAAACTGTTGCAGAGTGAAAAAATGTTCTGGGGAGCTTTGTTAAAAATAACCAGTGCATATCAATTCCATTTGGGGCTGTCTGGGGAAATTGTAAGCAGCAGCCGAGGCACATAAGTTTTCTACAGGCTCAATAAGTCCATGATCTGAGAGTTAGAAAAAAAACTAATATGCAATTCAGGGATGAAAGAGAAGTTCCTGGCCTTAAAACGGCAACCATCTATTCTATTTAAATATTCTCTACTTAAATTCTATTACAAACTGAGTTTTGCAAAATAAACTTTTCCTTTTAATCTCTTCACAAACTGAAAAATAAGACATTTTCACTTCTTAATTTATTCTAGGCAATTCCCTGCAAAGCAAATAGCTATTCTTTATTTTTCTACCGCAGCCCCAATACATATGATTACCCTTTCTTCCTCTTCAGATAAAAAAAGCCTAAAATGCAGCTAGCTTAACGTCCATTCAGAGAGAAATGCAAAGCAGATAGATGTAAACTGCACTTTCATAACTCTTACTCCTAGTTTAGTTATTAAATGCTATTATAGCACCTTTACAGAGAAGGAGGAAACTGGTACAAAATAGTTGAGGGACGGATTGTTTTCTGTTGTAGCTGATAACGGCCTAATGTTAAAATGGATCCCCACCCCCCACC